GTTTAGGGTTTAGGGTTTAGGGTTTAGGGTTTAGGGTTTGCGTGCAGACTTGTTCACGCACTACATCGCTGGCAAACCCTTGGCCGACTGCAGCGTTTCCGTTTTGAGCGGAGCTCTTTTATCTGCAGATCTTTTGTTGGAGGTTTTGAATGTTTCCCGAGACCTCAACATTCGTCCGCCAAACCCTAAACCCTAAACCCTAAACCCTAAACCCGAAAACCCTCAGTTTGGAGTCTGGGCCGGCGGCGGCGGCCCAGGCGGCGCGCCGGAGCCATTTTTCTTCAGCTGCTGAAGGCTCCTGCAAGGGTTTGGCTTTAGGGTTTAGGGTTTAGGGTTTAGGGTTTAGGGTTTAGGGTTAAGGGTTTAGGGTTTTTGCCGCAGGGCGCGAGCTGGTGCTTCAACTGTCCCGCATGAGGCAAAGGCTTCTGTGCGGACCAATTCAGCGTTTTCTGCGGTCGGTGAGAGCCAAACCCTAAACCCTAAACCCTAAACCCTAAACCCTAAACCCTAATTGACTTGTAGAGCCCAGGCCCTAACTCTCACGACCTCGAGGGCTCTTTATGTACCTTGAGGTATTTCTGCGGCTTTTGCAGCGGACAACCCAGGATTTAGGGTTTAGGGTTTAGGGTTTTAGGGTTTAGGGTTTAGGGTTTGCGGCGCTGCAGATTCACCGTCGGCGACCTGGGGCAGTCCGCGCTTTGCAGTTGAGAAGTGCTGAACATATTTGGTTGGTTTACAAAGAGGAGACAATTTACATTGTGAGTTTAGGGTTTAGGGTTTAGGGTTTGGGGTTTGGGGTTTAGGGTTTAGGGTTTAAGGGTTAGCTGTACTATTCGCTCTGCCTTTCTTTGTTTCCCTTCTCTACTTTCGTTTATGGCTCTTCTTTGTCAGCTAAGGATCCAGGGTTTAGGGTTTAGGGTTTAAAGTTTAGGGTTTAGGGTTTAGGGCTCGAAATATAGGGTTTAGGGTTTAGGGTTTAGGGTTTAGGGTTTTGACTGCAGGTCCACCGCTTCGTCTGCTCGGACGTCCTTCGGTTCAGTTTGACTCTGCAGTACTGCCGGGTGCAGATTTGCAAACCCTAAACCCTAAACCCTAAGCCCTAAACCCTAAACCCTCAGCCCCGCACTGAAGCCGCTGGCCGCTAAACCCCCAACCTCTAGGGTTTAGGGTTTAGGGTTTAGGGTTTGGAGTATGAGCTACAGGAAATTGCCAAAACAACTACTGAGGGGCCCAAACGCTTATCTGCTGCCTCTGCTGCAGCAGAAGTCCCTGAGGCCCTGCGGGGTAGGCTCGCTCAAACCCTAAACCCTAAACCCTAAACCCTAAACCCTAGTGTCAATGGATAGAGATTAAAGCTCTGCCACGCAAGGCCCTGTGCTGCTCTGGGCGCAAACCGCCGGCTTAGCTTCAGGGTTTGGCGTTTAGTGCTTAGGGTTTAGGGTTTAGGGTTTAGGGTTTAGGGTTTGGTTCTGCAGGTGAAATCGAGGATGGAGACTTCCCAGCGGATGAGCTAGCGGTGTTTTTGCTTCTCGGTAAGAACTCAGACTTCAGGTTTTGCAGCCTAGGGTTTAGGGTTTAGGGTTTAAGGTTTAGGGTTTAGGGTTTGCAGTACTGTCACAGAATCTATTTCTCCTTTTCAGTGCAGCAAATGTACGTGCTTTTGTCTTCTCGGTTACTTGAGGGGTAGGGTTTAGGGTTTAGGGTTTAGGGTTGAGAAATAAGGGTTTAGGGTTTAGGGTTTGCGTTTAGGCATCCCCGCGCACATTTTCTCTGGGGACTTTTCAGCGGCCACGAGAAGCCTGCGGGCTCTTACTCTAAGTGAAATGGGTTAGTGTTTAGTTAGGGTTTAGGGTTTAGGGTTTAGGGTTTGGGGTTTTCATTTCTCCTCATTTTTTTGTTGCTGCAGTTCGGACATTTCTTTTCAATTTATTATTTTTTTCCTTTTGTCTTCATTTGTCTTTTTATAAACATCTTTTTGTTTCTTTTTTGTCCCTTTTTATCTCTTTCTTTTTTGCTGCTGCTGCTGCTGCTGCTGTTGCAGTTGCAGTTGCTCCCGCTGCTGCTGCTGTTGGTGCTGCTGCTGTTGGTGCTACTGCTGCTGCTGCTGCTGTTGCTGCCGCTGCTGCTGTTGCTGCTGTTGTTGCTGCTACTGCTGTTGCTGCTACTGCTGTTGCTGCTACTGCTGCTGCTGCTGCTGCTGCTGCAGTCATATCGGTGCAGCCTCACGTGGAAGAAGTTGTCAAGAGAGAACTCTTGAGGTTTTGGAGACTTTTAGAAACCCACTAAATTTTGGACTCAAGGGTTTAGGGTTTAGGGTTTAGGGTTTGTAGGGCCAATAGGGCAAACCGGGACGTTCCCAAGTCCCATCTTGGAGACTACAGCCTAGGGTTTAGGGTTTAGGGTTTAGGGTTTGCGATACGAGCACTGGGGGATCAGAAATTGACTGTGCTGCATGCGTCTAGGGTTTAGGGTTTAGATGCATGCAAAACACAATTAAACATTTATTTATTTTATTTTAAATTGAACATTTATTATTTGTTTTATTTTAAATTAAAAGTTTTAATTTAATGACGCAGTTTCCACTTCGTGAAATGCGCACGAGAACTTGAGGTGTACGTACACCTCAGCCCCGCAGCAGCGGCCTCCGCGGCCAGAGGCAACAGCAGCAAATATTTATTTATTTAATTTCATTTATTTATTTATTTATATTGAACAAATAATAATAGATAAATAAATGGTAAGTAAATAGATTTAAAAATAAATAAATCTACTTATTGCAAAAATGGCTTTGCCTTCCAGTGGTAAAGTGACAGCGCAAATGCAAGAATGATAATTGAAATAAATAATAAATAAATAAATAAATAAATAAATAATATTATTTACTAATTTATTTATTTATTTATTTATTTATTATTCGATAGTTCATTTAGATGAATTTGTTACTCATAATACTTTTCTTTTTCATTCTAATTTATCTTATTAGGCACCTCACTCCCCCTAAACCCTAGAGCCTAAACCCTAAACCCTAAACCCTAAACCCTGGCATCTCGCTGTGCCGCAAAACCCAGTCAAAAGTCTTAAATGCTGAGGCGAAATGACAAAACAAAATTCACCAATAAACCCCACAAAACCCCTAAAGGCCCTCTTGTGGGGCCCCGGGGGCCCCCCAAAAGGGTACTTAGGGGGCCCCCCGGGGGCCCCCCTCTCCTCTACACGGGCCCATCTGGGGGCCCCCAGGGGGGCCCCCAGGGTCCCCTTAAAAAAGCCTTTTATGCGGGGCCTCTGCAAGGGGTCCCCCAAAAGGGCCCCTGAAGAAGGGGGGGCCCCCTAGAAAGGGGCCCCCTACTAGGGGGCCCCCCACGGGGGACCCCTTGAAGGGGCCCCCCGCAGGGTAGACCCCAAAGGGGCCCCCCTTGGAGCTCCCGGAGGGGCCCCAGAAGAGCCGGCGCCGCAGCTGCGAGACCCTGGGGTCCCCCCTGGGGGCCCCCCGTGTGGGGGCCCCCGAAGTGGTGGGGCCCCACACTAGAGGGCCCCTTGGGGCCCCCTGGGGGCCCCCCGGGGGCCCCTTACCCACCACTGGGGGGCCCCCCGGGGGCCCCCCGTGGTGTGGGCTCCCCCTGGGTTTACTGGGAGCTGTCAGGGGACTGGATTTGCTGCTGCAGCCTGGCAGTTTCCTGGTCAATGCGGATTTGCTGCTGCA